AATTAACAAATTTGGAGAATAAAAAAATGAGATTTAAGTAAATAATTATTGTATTATTTAAAACTATGCACAGTGGTCTAAGAGATAAATTTACGCAGCAAAAACCCTTTAAAAGCGCATTTTGATGCCTCTTTACTGTTCTTGACAGATCATTACCTAAGATTTTAAACTGGGAAGTATAGGTTACTGCGCATGCGTTGTGTTATAACAAATACATGAAAGAATTGTCAAAATTGGGAATCTTGTCATTTTCCTGTAAAAAAGGTGTTTCGTAAATATAATTGTGAAAATTAGTTTTAAAAATTTATAGTACGGATAAAGGAGTACAAATTCAACTTTAAAATGTCTTTTTTGAATTATTTGTCAAAAATATAGCGTTTTTTAACCTACAAATTCTCAAGTTCGAAAATATATTAAAAATGCATCTGCCTTTATGCGCCTCTCGCTAGTTATGCAAAAAAAAACAAAGGTCGACAAAAATTACCGCCAACCTGGTCATGAAAGTAATATATTTTTTTAATTTGACAATAATTATTGTATTTAAGAATGGTAATATTTTTTTTTACTCTTATTATATAATATTGTTTTTTTTTAATTTACTTTGTATATTATACAGTGTGTCCACGGATCGGGTTGAAAATAGAAAAAAACTTTATTATTATGTTACGAAAAAAACATTTTTCATAAAAACTTCTGCTTGTTTCAAAAATAAGATTCCTATACAAACATTTTAAAATAAATGTACAGGGTGCTCAGAAAGTAAGAAAACCTAAAACTAGAAGTGCGTTTTATACAAAAGTGCTCTTTTAGTTCCACCCTTACTTCTTAAGAAGTCCCATAAGCCAACTGAATGGCTTGTGCGGGTTAGGGGTAGGAACGGACCGCGGGCTTAAAGTCCCCTCCGAAGGACTATTACACAATAGGACAACACAAATAAACAGCCATACCCCTGGTGGGATTCGAACCCACGACCTCCGGCTTGTAGTCAGCTGCACTAACCACTCGACCACCGTCGATTATGGAAAAAATATTTCTTTATGAAAATATCTGATGGTTTAAAAATTAAACTTTTATAAAAAGATTAATTATATGTACAAGGTGCTCAGAAATTTAAATATATATATATATATATATATATATATATATATATTAGGGTGAGCCAAAAAAACTAACCTATCGGATTTATGGGTTAAAATGAACCTACATACCGAGCAAAAAATTTCCCTGCAAGGCAAAATTTTTTGCTCAATTTTAAAAGGTGTCGGTGAGCAAAGTGTAAAAAATCACTAAAACTGCAGTTTTAGTGATTTTTTACTCTTTTCAAAGCTTTCAAACATACGAATTTTTGAATTAAAAGAAATAATCCTGGTATAGATTCTTTGGGAAATATTATGCTCTACAAGAATCCGCGACGTAAAAAATTTTATCTCAAACGGTTCAAAAGTTATAGTCTTTTTAATGAAAAAAGATTTGTTTACGTGTTATTTCAATGGAAAACTTAGAATGCTCACCGACACCTTCTAAAATTGAGCAAAAAATTTTGCCTTGCAGGGAAATTTTTTGCTCGGTATGTAGGTTCATTTTAACCCATAAATCCGATAGGTTAGTTTTTTTGGCTCACCCTAATATATATATATATCAAAATAAGAGAAAAGTAGTAAAATTTTCGTTTGGGAATCGCAAAAAATCATTCTTCATAAAAACTCCTGATTGTTTAAAAAAAATAAGATTCGTATACAACTATTTTTAATTAAATGTACAGGGTGCTCAAAAATTAAGAAAACCTAATTAGGTTTTTATAAAATGCGTTTTACTGAAAAAATATTTTTTTTTAAAAACTTCTGATGGTTTAAAATTAAGGTTTCTATAAGAAAATAAATTAAATGTACATCTCATTTTTGAAACAAGCAAGAGTATTTAAAACATAATAAAAATATTATAAAAATATTATAATATTAAACCTATAGGTTTTCCTATTGTCATGATTAAAAAAATATGGTGAAATGTTAATATAATAATATATTTTTGATACATTGAAGGTAATAGTTTTTAGGTTATTCATCGCCAATATTGGTACGAACTATAATAGTATATTATTATACGGGAGATAATGCAGGCTATTGTTCTCTAGAGACGTAAATCATCCGAGTAAAGAATGCGCATTATTTCGAGTGTAATACTATGCTTTTTCTACTCTAATTAAGTAATTTTCATTGACAACAAAATTTATTATAACCTAACTTTTTTCCGATTTTAAAGATCATTATAGTCGCCCCTCGTATATATAAACAAATTTGTTAACCTTTTTACTGTTTATTTTTTCCCAATTTAAAACCCGATTGGTTCAAATAACAGTGAATATTGAAATCAGCCAATCACTGATGCCTAATAATGAGTTCATTATCCACGTTGTTAGGCCGGGCGGTTATATTGGTTTCCATTATTTACGAAAAAAACCCAAATAATGTAAATACTATGCAATAGGAGTAGAAAAATATTTATTTTATATAGGAACTATTAGTAAGAGCTATGAATCTTTTACAAACAGTTGGTTTGACTACCATCGTCGGCGAGAAGGACCCTGCGCCCTTCTGGCACCCGTAGCCCATCTGGGCCCACATAAATAAATATGTAATGTCTGTTCGGGAAACCAATAACAAAATGTTAACTGTGATATATATGTTGTATTGTAAATCATGAATATTATGAATAAATGTTTTTAATGTTAATGTTAATGTTTACAAACAAGGATCTCTTTTTAATCATACGAGAGCAGAAAACTTTGAATCCGACGTGTAAAATACTTCAAGGAACTATTTGTTCACTACAATCAAAGGAATATCCAACATTGAGAATTGGGATGATATATACCTAAAGAAAGTGAAAAACGTGATATTATCTTTTGCAATAACTTTAAAGAAAAAATGGGATGGTTGCCATCGAACAATAAGTGTATTTATGGAATCAGAAGAAGAATGACTAAAGAAAAAATTTGAGTTCCCTGACAAAATCAAAAAAAGTCCTAATGTTTAAAGAGTACATAAAAGTTTTAGGGAAAGTAGTGATCGATCCCATACAATAAAGAAAGCGCTCTTTAAATTGGAAACCAAAAAGCCTATTGCAATGACGTCAGACGAAGCCCTCGCTAAAATGACTAAAGAAAAAATTTGAGTTCCCTGACAAAATCAAAAAAAGTCCTAATGTTTAAAGAGTACATACAAGTTTTAGGGAAAGTAGTGATCGATCCCATACAATAAAGAAAGCGCTCTTTAAATTGGAAACCAAAAAGCCTATTGCAATGACGTCAGACGAAGCCCTCGCTAAAAATGACTAAAGAAAAAATTTGAGTTCCCTGACAAAATTAAAAAAAGTCCTAATGTTTAAAGAGTACATAAAAGTTTTAGGGAAAGTAGTGATCGATCCCATACAATAAAGAAAGCGCTCTTTAAATTGGAAACCAAAAAGCCTATTGCAATGACGTCAGACGAAGCCCTCGCTAATATATTAGATAATGACTTAACTAAACAGCAGTATGTTAACGTACGACCGACAACAAAACATCGAAGCGCTGATATTTTTCCACTATATGATCAAGTTCTTGCAGCAAAGAAACGATGCTACCCTAAGAATATAGAAATATCAGAAACGTCTTGCAAAGTTCCGTTGCAAAGTTTGCTTACTCATACTATAAATAGAATATTAGACTCTTTCTTCTAATATTGTTGGTTCCAAAATTATTTTTAAGTGGGGATGTGACGGAAGCAGTGGATATGCACGGTACAAGCAACGCTACATAAGTGATGATGATGAAAGCGATGCCAATCTTTTCCTTATTTCTTTGGTACCACTACAATTACGACATAACAATGGCGATGGCTCTTCAGTTATACTTTGGCCGTTTCTGTAGGCCTCTGAAGCTAGCGTTTGGAAAAGAAACTAAAGAGTTAACGCGAGAAGAAGTTAACTCAATCGAAGCAAAAATTGATAATTTAAAACCTACCATTGTGATTTGAAATAATTCAAAAGGTATAATAAATGACGTTGATTGGTCATGTCTTGAAACAATGATTTTTGCGCAGGTGTGTTCCGTTACAAATACATCTAGCTAAAAATGCTGCCCAAAAGAAATGAACAATTTAGAATGTTGAACCGGAACGAAGATTTAAATTATCCACGATGCATGCTTGGATCCGATTTCTTTAATGTTTACTACACAATGCAGTACACATAGCCTACAGATTACATTTTAAAAAGTGGCAGGTACTACTAATATAAGTTTAATGAACAAAACACAACATTTTGAGTTAATAATAATAATAATAATAATCTTTATTTGCCCAACAGAATTGTGTTTTAAAACAAAAGTTGATTATGTTATATAATTATATGATAAAAAAATAAATTATATAATCTTAAAAATAATTTACTATAATTATAGCAATATCTTACCTATTGCCAAAAGATCACTAAACTTACAAAAAAATAAATCAGTTTTAAGGATAGAATGTAAGAGTTTGACGCGAGTTTACTCTAGGTACAAATAAATTTAATTTAGAAAGTAAAGCTGGACAGTCAAGTACTAATTTATAAAGAAAGATTTGAAAAGATATAAATCTTCTACTTAAAAGCATTGGCATTTCAAATCTCCTTGTCAAAACTAGTGGGTCTGATCCTCTTATTGGATAGACGCCATCAACCTTAAATGTGATATATTTTAAAAATCTTCGTTGTACCCTTTCAACTCTATTAATATGATTATTATAGCAAGGATACCAAATCAAGGAGGCATACTCCAGATTTGTTCTTACCAAAGTAGCGTATAAAACTTTAAGGGTATTTAAATTGGTAAATTTACCACAGTTTCTCATTATAAAGCCTAATATTTTCATTGCTGAATCACTAGTGATATTAATGTGCTCTGCAAATGACAGTGTGCTGTCAAATGTTACACCCAGATCCTTAATTTTGATTTATTATTCCTTATGAAAAGAAATGCGCCGAACAGAGTAGACGTGATTAATTTCTCGCTCCGACTAAATACAAAAACTTAAGTAAAACTGTAGTTAAAAATTGTGAAAAGTGGTGAAAAGCTTATAAAAATGGTGATTTTTACCCGTGACCAGTTAAAGGAAATAAAAGAGGAAATATTTAAAGACTTTAAAGCAGTTATAGAAAAAGGCATTGGTGAAATAATGGATAGTGAATCATTTACAGACAAATTGATTGCCAAGGTCAGTGACACCGTACAAAAAACCCTTGAAACTAAACTAAATAATTATAAACAACATTATGAAAAGCAAATAAAAACGCTTGAGGAAAAAATTGATGCAATAGAACAATACTCAAGAAGAAAAAATTTACGCATTTTTGGCGTACCAGAAAACCCAGTAATACCACTTAAAGATGACATAAACAACATCTTTACAACCATGGGAACAGAACCCAAACCCATAGTAGAATGTTATAGAATTGGAAAACTAACTAATAAACCTAGAGCTATTTTTCTTAAACTAGCAAACTATGAAGACAAAATGGAAATTATTAAAAACCGAAAGAAGTTAAAGGGCACTAAAGTGCATATTAAGGAGGATTTAACAAAAGCTAAAATGGAAATACTAACAGCTGCATCTGATAAATTTGGCTACAAAAATGTATGGAGTCTAAATGGAAAAATATATGTTATGTTAAACAACAAAAAAACTGAATTCAAGTCCATTGAACTTGTAGATAATTACGATGTCAATGTAAATAGGAGTGATTTTTAAATACGTGATTATTTTTATTGTAGGAGAGAGAACATTTTTTATAGGAGGAAAAAAAACTTTGTAAGCACCTAATTTAGTTTATTTTTGGTATTTTTTTTTATATACTGCGTTTATATTATTAGTACGCCCTTATTAAATTCATTAAATATGGTAGAACTTTTAAATAAAATTGAAAATTACAATAATATTCATACTTATAAAATTAACAATTTCAGCGAATTAAATGATATAGAACTTAAAAAGTTGGAAAATGGCTTAAACATAGTGCATTTTAATGTTCGAAGTATTAATGCGAATTTTGATGAAATAATGATATATTTAGAATCTTTGAATTTTAACTGTGACATTGTTATTTTAGGTGAAACATGGAATGTTAAAGATACTTTTTACTATAATATTAAAAACTTTACATTATATTATAATGAGTCTAAAATAAATCAAAACGACGGCCTTATCATCTACATAAACAACAGTATTAAAGCAAATGTAACTCAACACAAATTAGAAAATTCTAAAATAACCATAACTAAGGTAAGTTTCTTAATTGATAATCTAGATTATAATGTTTTTGCGGTCTACAGATCTCCATCTACAAATTCTGAGACTTTTGTAGAGGAACTTGAGCCGTTTTTATTAGCAAATGTTGCAAATGATTTTAATTTGTTTAAAGGTGATATAAATATAGATCTCAAAACTTCAGATAGGGTAACAAATGCGTATATGAATACTCTAGGCTCTTGTGGATATCTTTCTTTTATAAACCGCACAAGTAGGGTAACTGCAGACACAAAAACCTGCATTGATCATGCATTCATAAAAAATAGTGAACGTATAAAGCATAGCGATATAATCCCTATTGTATACAGATCGCATATAACGGATCATTATAACCTTATTATAAATCTAACACGTAGTAATAAACAAAAAAGAAATAAATTTGAAATTAAACAAATCAAAACCATTAACCATGATAAATTAAATATAATGCTTAAGAATGAATTATGGGAAGATATATACCACGAGCGTGCACGCTCATGATTCTAACAAAGCATATGAACTATTTTTAGACAAATTTAAATACTTTATAAGCACTTGTACAATTTTCAAAAATGTTAAAACAAAAATTAAGTTAAAACCATGGATATCAGAAACCCTCATAAATTCTATAAAAACTCGAGACAATCTTAAACGCCTCTTACTTAAAGATAAAAATAATATGCAATTACAAAATCAATACAAAACGTATAGAAATTATCTTACAAAACTTTTAAAACAATCAAAAAAAATTATTACCAAGAAAAAATAACAAAATCACAAAACAACACAAAACATATTTGGAATATAATAAAAAATACAAATAACGTAAAAAACGAAATAATTAAACTTAATGATACGGACTCAGTTATATCAGAGCCATGCGATGTTGCCAATAAATTTATTTTATTTTTCGAAAATAGGTAAAAATATGGCTGATAAAATAAAAAATGATTGTTTTTCGGACACTGGCCCCATTGATGCACCTAATATAATTTTTAAAAATTTAATGTTCTTAAAGCCGGTTTCAAAAGATGAAATATTAAAAATTATAACGTCGTTAAAAAATAATTCATCTAGTGGAACTGATAAAATAAATACAAAAATTATAAAACAGGTAAAGGAAAACATAAGTGACGTTCTTGTACATATCGTTAACTTAACTTTTGAAATAGGGACTTTTCCTAGGCTTCTGAAACAGGCAGTCATAACACCAATATTTAAAAGTGGACAAAAAACAAGTATTGAAAACTATAGGCCAATTTCCGTTATTCCAGTTCTTGCCAAAATTTTTGAAAAATGTCTGGTTCAAAGACTGGATGAACACCTAGACAAAAACAACATATTGTCAAAGAAGCAGTTTGGGTTTAGGGGAGGCCGTTCCACGGAGGACGCCTTGTTCTACTTTACAAAAAAAATACACACATTTTTAAATAGAAAAAAGAAAACAATAGGTATATTTTTAGATCTGGCAAAAGCTTTCGATACTATTTCACACTCTTTATTATTAACAAAGTTGGAGGATTATGGCATAAGAGGCGTAGTATTAAAACTCTTCGAAAGCTATTTGTCAGGTCGCGAATCTTTCGTTAAAATTGAGAATTCCTTAAGTCTACCAAAAAAGGTTGAATATGGCGTCCCCCAGGGAACGGTGCTGGGACCCAAACTGTTTCTTCTTTATATAAATGAACTTTTAAAAATGCCTATGGCAAAAGCTTTCGATACTATTTCACACTCTTTATTATTAACAAAGTTGGAGGATTATGGCATAAGAGGCGTAGTATTAAAACTCTTCGAAAGCTATTTGTCAGGTCGCGAATCTTTCGTTAAAATTGAGAATTCCTTAAGTCTACCAAAAAAGGTTGAATATGGCGTCCCCCAGGGAACGGTGCTGGGACCCAAACTGTTTCTTCTTTATATAAATGAACTTTTAAAAATGCCTATGTGTGGGGACATTTTATCCTACGCTGATGACACTGTACTACTATTTAACAACGATAGTAATTTGCTTAGCCTTAACTTTGAAAAAACTAAAATGATAACTTTTACTAACAGTTCAACAATTCAACCCAACTTTACAACAATAAAATTTCACTCAGAATGTGACCAAAGTGAAAACTGTCAGTGTCAAAGATCTATAAAAAAAACTAATACAGTTAAATATTTGGGTTTGGAAATAAATAGTTCTTTAAAATGGTACGACCATGCAATATCGATTGACAACAAGCTTAAAAAACTAAATTATACATTTTATAAGCTAAGAGAAATACTTCCGATTAAAATCCTATTAATGGCATATAGATCAATGGTTGAAGCCATCATATCTTATGGCATAATTATATGGGGAGGTACCTATGAATCCCATACAAAAAATTTAATTATTACAAAAAAAGGTATCCTCAAAACAATTTTCTCAAAAAACCGAATGACTTCAACGGAAGAAGTTTATAATGAATGTGGTGTTTTTGATTTTAAGCAGTTATATGCTTTTAATTTGCTCAAGTTCGGCTATAAAAACTCAGATTTAAGAAAAGTACCGCAGCATGAGTATAATACAAGACAAGACTTTTTTCTTATACCAAAAATTCCATCTACATTATTTAAAAACACTGTTTTTGTACTAGGTTCCAAACTATTTGGTATTTTGCCAAATGAGTTAAAAAGTATAAACTCATTTAGTTTATTTTGTAAAAAAGTTAAAATTTTCATTTATCAGAATAAAAATGTCATAGAAAATATTTTCCTTTAAGCCATTTTTTAGCAATTCTTGGGATACTATTTCATAATTTATTGTATTGAATATTAAATATTATTATTATTCTTTTTTTTATCACTTGGAGAATACAATTTTAATAAACGCGTACTTATAGGGTTTGAAAACTTGTTTATTTTTAGGATTAGTAAATATTATTTATTTGATGAATCTTTTTAATAAATTTTTAGTTGGATAATTTGTAAAAAGTAAAACATACTTAAGCACGACACGATCTCTTAAAGAGATCAGGTGCACTTAATTAATTTAAGATATTTTTGTAAAAAAAAAGAAAAATTATGCTGCTGAATAAAATTATTTATTATTTATTTATTTATTTATTAATAAAATAACATCTGGAAAGACTGCAATTACCCAGTGAATAATTAAAGACCAAAGGACTTAACTTTAATGTAAATATACACACCATACATTTACTATTCAGACTTAGTTTGTTAGTTATGCACCAGTTTTCCAGTATATTTAATTGTCTTGTAAAAAATCACAGTCCTTAGTTGATTTAACTGGATACAAAATTTTTAGATCATCGGCAAACAATAGGCATTTAGAATTAAGTAATTCTGGAAAATCATTTATAAAAAAGTTAAATAAAAGTGGACCTAAGTTTGAACCTTGAGGTACTCCAGATGTAGCAGTATACTTAATTGATCTGTGTCCATTGTATGAGAAAAATTCCTCTCCATTGTATAGGTAAGGGGCAAACAGAGTAACTAGAGGTTCACTAAAACCTATCTTCTGCAACTTATTTAGCAATATAAAGCGATCAAAGGCCTTCGAGAAGTCTGTATATACGACGTCAACTTGTTCTTTACGATCTAAGTTATCAGCTATGTATTGACTAAAAGTGGCTAAGTTAGTCACAGTTGAACGCTTTGTCATGAATCCATGCTGCATTGGATAAATAAGAATCTTGGCTTGGTTGAATAAAGTTGTATAAACACACATTTAGAATACCTTTACAAAGTTGCATAAAATAAAAATAGTTACTTAAGTCTAAAAAATACTTAAGTCTAAATAAAAGTACAGTCATTTTCAATTAATAATTTGTGTATATAACTTTTTACATGTAAATTTGCACATTAGGTAAAATCGAATAAAGATAAAAATTCTCTCAAAGAAAGTAAAAAGAAAATTCAAGATAAATTCAGATCTGAACTAGGATTGTTAGTCGATGTTGTTCTTCAAGGTATACATTTAAGTTCATTTAAAATAAATATTTTTGCATTAAATTATACATGAATAATGTATTTATGTATAATTTAAAATATTTATTTTAAATGAACATCTTAACTTTTAGGTGATGGCACGACCAATGATGGAAATACTGCGAGGCGTTTTTTTAGTAATGCAGTTAAAAGTGCAGAAATCACGGGCATTGATGTTAATTTGATCACCAGATTTGATATTATATTAAAAACCATCGCAAGTGGTTACGACATGAATGTAGATGCTTTTCGATCCTATACAAGAGATACTGCTTCATTATATGTGTCATTGTATCCTTTCTACTACATGCCCGATAGCATCCACAAAATACTTTGAATGGGGCAGACGTGATAAAATGTTTGATTCTTCCAAAAGGTGAGGTGTAACATAACATACACTTATACCTCTTGAGAGAGCTCTTTTTCAAATTTAGTTTCAATTATACGATGGATTTCCTTTCGGTAGGTTTATTGTCAGAGGAAGCCAA